GCTCTGTGGCCTTACACACAGATCACACATCTTCTAAAGCGGGTTTGTATGGGTAGTGGGGATATTTTTGCTGAAAGCCGTTCCTTGTTGCTCAAGGCTGTCAGAAAAACATTTCTAATTCAGTTTAAATTTTCTCTTGGATTCTTTGTCATATGTCATCCATGTCATGACACCAAATATTTTGTGTGCCACCATTTCACTCTGACTGATGCTAGATTCCCTGACAAACAACCAACTATTTCTCTTTCTGCAAGTATGTTACTTATATTTGAACAGATCATGCAATGATATCCACTAACTTTTTTTGTCACTGTAATCATATTATTGTAGCTTTTCTAACCAGCAGCCCACAGAGAACTCACTGGGAGACAAACAAGTCTTTTTATTGAATTTCCATAGGACAGCATGACCAAATGTCATCTTAAAACTTGGACAAGCTTTAAATCACTGTAACTGATCTAAAAAAAATGGGACACCAAAAAATAATAATTTTACTGAAAAAGACTAAACCAAAAACCAATTCAGTTCGATCTAGACTGACACCACCTCTCATAGCAGATGTAGGCTGAGCTGTGTGGGTTTGACCATGGTCCAGGAACGGTCAGTCACCTGCATTTGTTGGTTCAGGTCAAGATTAACAGACTTATTAATCAAATGTTATAATAAATCTTCAAGCCTAGTATACTTTTAACTGTTTTAAAAGAGGAAAGTATTCATTATTTCTCATAAAATTGCAAGATTCTGAGGTGAATGGTCAGTTTGAACAGCTCAAGCCAATCACTTTGTGTGATTGCTTAAGAGATTTGAATTGAGATATCCATGTTCCTGACAGCGTTGTGTGAACTTAAATGAGCCTCTCGGCTGACCTATATGGAGTGAGGCTAAGGTAGATTCATGTTAAAGTTAATAACTGAAAGCAGACATTTTAATTATATGTCCAACTTTCCAAAGATTCTAATTGATTTGTTTCCAGATAAAATGGGGGTTGTTGTGTGCAGGGTCAAACGATTCTAGCTGAAACTTTTCCATATGTAGTTCTTAAGTTTTCTGTGGGAGAGATTTATTCACAACTTTTGAACATCAGGTAAAATTGTTATAAAAGTTTTTGCTTTCAAAATATGGACCATTTTACCATAAAAATATGAAAAATCTTTTTTATTTGCCTTTTGAAAAGGGCACTTACCAGACTAAAAGGGCAAAGGCTTTTTGTTCCCCTCCCCAAATCCAGTAAGGTTCACCGGGATAACATATCATAGACACAATTATTCATATGCGGTGGCCCAGCAATCACAGTGTCTGTTGATATAATGGTAATCAAGCTCTAAAGTTAAAAGCACTTCTCCAATATAAGCTTGAACTTACAATTCAGACATAAATTTGTGAACATGCTGCTCCATTTGTGTGGTCACTGCTTTTTTTCTATGCTTTTAGAAAAGCACAAAAGCCAAAGCTCAGTCCCACTGCATTCTTTCCCCATTCCATTATGTGGATGTTAATAGAGTGCATTTAAAAGAAGACTAGTTAAAACTATGGGAGAGGTAGCAACAATTAAACAATGGAATTTGAGATGATCCACACCATCTTTACCTGTTACCTCCTGGGCATCAATACACAAAGATGCCAACTTTAACTATAAAGTTTATTCTACATGCAATCTCACTGTCTCTTATGGTCCAGTCTGTAATCAATAATGGCAGACGCCTCTAAATGTGTGTTTACTATTGAATTCACATGCAAAATACATGACATTTCACAAAACCATTTGCATACAACAAGATAGTAGGGGTTTGACCCACACTATACCAGCACAACAGCCACTTACACAGCTGATTCTTCCTCTTTATAAGGAAACTGCTCCTTTAAGAAGATATGTGACGGTAAACACAGAAACAATCAGAATACAGTAGCCTTGTCAAAGGACTTCTGATCAGGTCAGTTGAACACAAGTAAATACTTGTCAATAGTTATGTTGGTCCTCAGTGAAAAACACTGCACACAAATTTACAATGTACATAAATGTACATAAAAAACATACCCTCATAAAGGTTGGTCAAGGTAGAAAAATGCAGACATGCAGACTATTACAGAAAGGAAAATATTCCACACACCAAAAGACAGGGATTGGCTCTTTCATTGCACAGTCTGACAAGAAGATCCCGGCTTAGAAGAATTGACAAGTCATCTTCTCACCTATGCTCTCCTCTATTCCTCCATTCACATAAGAGCAACCTAAATAGTTTTACAATTTGGTTTTGCAGTCCAATCCCCAGAAAACAAGTTGATGCTGGTGACAGCAGCAATCCTACTGTCCAATTAAAAACATTGCTGGCTTTGTTTTATGGTGGCAGACATTCACCAGTTTATCTAAATTAATCTATACAGTGCTGACAGATGTGATGTCCGTCTCTGTGTGCTCTCTGTTTGAAAAAGTGCACTTATTAGCTAGAAGTTGGCTCCACATTATTAGACTGTATATGTCAAAGCTCTACCTCCTGTGCTCATTAATTCAGACCAGATTATTCTTCTTTCTGTACACCAGTCACTTGGCGCTCTCCTCCTGTCAACGTATGAAAGTCAGTAAGTATTTATAATCCATACCATCTTTGGCGTGCAGTTTTGTGTTCTGCCATGGCTGTGTATTTTTTGTAACCTTTAACCTCTTAACCTTTAACCTTTAACTGTGGTAAAGCCTTTTTCGTTTAATAAAGCCCACTAGATGCTACATCTTCTGTTTCAACTTGCACAAGATTCTTGATTTTCTCATTATGTTGTTTCACGTCTCGTCTTCTCGGGTGGTTTCACTTGACTATTCTGTTATCTCTGACACTATTGTACTCTTTTACTCTAAGAGAGCAAACACTTTGTGTAATACCACCTTGGTAATTAAGGTACATTATGTAATATCACTGCTGCTTACTCTGGTACATAATTGCCAATGAAGCCTTCCTCATTTTAGAGAGGTTTATTGCATGACTTCTGCATAAAAAGCAGGTTTGACTGTGAGGTTAGGACTGAAACTATTTTCTTAAACACTGTTGTTAGTTACTTAATAATGTTTTTATCTCATAGATTTTTTTTTTACCTGACATCATTGAATTTATTCTGAATAGTTACCAATGTGCCTAGTGAGAGAAAACGGATTCATCCCTGGGGCACAGGGTTATTATTGTTCCATCTGATTGAGATTAGCTCTTGTGCAGAATATAAGAAAATGTGGAATCTGACAAGACTGAACTCACAGAGTTGCCTCCAAAAAGACCCTGTCTGTGTTATTGATGAATTGATCTAATCTTAGTTTTGGAGTTGAAAGTATTAAAAAAGACAAACAAAGATCTACCATTACCACTGAATGTGAATTCAGATCAAGAAACAGTCTGTATATCAGTTTGATTACATAACTGATGGGTTGGTGAAAATGCATTTTACAATGATGCATTCTTCTCTTTTTGATATTGGTGGAGTGTGCATGTTATCCTGATGTGTTCGAAAACCATTTTCAGACACATGCACAAAAACCTGCTGTAATTAGCAGTGTATAATGCCGCTGCAGCAATAAAAGCAAATTATATATTTTGATGATGACATGTCTGTTCTGTATGCGTGGGTGGGTGTGTGTGTGTATGTGAGTGTGCTTGTTTGTAACAGGGTGGGGCATGTCTAAGAAAAAGCATTGGTAGAAGGTAAAAGTCGCCATCTACTGGTAATAAAAATGTATGATATTATCTATATTTAGTGTATTAGTGCTTCTACAGCTGATGTTAAAATAATATATTTTGGTATTTAATAAATAACAGTAATAAATAACAGAAGCATCACTGAGAAGTACTCATGGAGACTGTTGGCGTCTAGAGGAAATTAAATACTGTTCAACAAATTGAGGTGCAGACAATGACGATCTGGTGTAAGCTTGAAAACACACTAAAGTTCGTGTTGACAGAAATACACCCACAGAGAGAACATTTTCCAGAGCCACTTAAAGCAGACGAAGTCTCTCACCTATCATTTGCATATCCTGCATTTCCCCTCACAGTGCCATTTCAGTCTCAGTAAAAGAGAGACTGGGTTCAGGCAAACCTCTCTGCTAAAGTGCTAAAGTGCTAAAGTGCTAAACTGAATGAAAGATTATTTTCATCCTGTTGATTAGAATGAATGAATATAAGGACAAAAAGTGACACTGGCCAGTCTATAATAGCAAAAACTTCCACTTCTGTACTACCTTACTTCATTTGTAAAGATGAAATATGATCAGAAACTAATGTTTCATCGTTTACAATATCTTATTCAGAAAGTAATAGAAACTTTGTAACAATGGTACATTTTTGTATAAAAAATGTTGAACTGCTTTAGGTTTTGTGCTGCACATTGACAACAGAGCTTAGTGAAAAGTGTGATGAGACTTCCATTTCACTAACAATTTCACAGTCCTTTAAAATATTTCATGCCATATACCCTATGATGTTTTCCAAGAAAAGTTAGACACTAAAAAATCAGAAATGCCACCCCTTCCCCTGAGTAGCAAGCAGCTGATGACAACTACTCGAATAGTTAGTAAAAAAGACAGGAAATGTTTTGTGTTTTGTAGTGACAAACAAGGAATGCTCATTTCACTTAATCAGATGACAAAAGACACTGACAACGTGCATATAATGACCTGATATTCTATATTAAATCCTGAACCTGAACGTCAAACACGACGACTATTGGTCAGTTGTCATCACATGACTGACAGCAACTACATAATTGTATTTAGCTAAAATATTATTAATTGTCAAATTATTTTGTTCAGGGGCAGGCCTCTTCCCAAAAAGACAAAAAACACATTAAAGTGAAATTCGGGAATATAGAAAGAAAGGGACACTGATTTCAAAATCTACATCTATTTTAGGCATAAGATTTCAGGTGTTTGAGTCAACTTAAGGGAAACCGGAAAAGGCTGTTTCGCCTCCTTCTGCGCCTGCGTGATAAACGCAGCCGGCGGGCTGTTGGTACATCGTTCAATAATGGCTCCGAGTGAGGCTGTCGTTGCGAGACAAACAGCGCAGATAATTTACTATCTGCTTGAGGACGAGTGTGCCCCGGCGTCTCGTGCGTTCAAAGACGAATATGAAACCGACGGCAACGGTTTGTGTATAATTGTGTCGTTGTACGTGTGATTGAGTTGTGTTATAGTGTCAGTGAAGGAATGAACGACACGAAAGCCAACAGCTGATAAACTGTCTCCGCTTTCGTTTTCACAAGACAAGTGCCAAGTCACTGACAAGCAAACATGCATTGGTTAATTCCTGTTAATGCCTAATTGTATAAGCCTGGTTTGTAAACAACAGTCACGCTAACACATAAGCAGATGTCCTTACCCAGTGACATCAAATGTCTCCCGGCTAATTTCGTCTTCTGTGAAAACGATATCTGGCTCTTTTTCTATCGTTGTACCTACAGCTCGTTGTCGATAGGCAAGACTGTAAGATGACTGAGGGAGGAAATAGGGATATTATGTCCATTTCTGGTGGTGTTGTTGACCGTTAAGGTGTGGCATGTAAGACTTTCTCAGCCTTTTTGTTTTGTTTTTGTTTTTCTGCCTCTTTTCAGGTGATGATTTTGATCCAGTTTTGATAGCTGACAAACTGAGAAGTATTGCTGATTCCATGAATGAGGACGCCATGTTTCAAGCTGCATTATCTGGCCTGAGGAAAGCAGCAGCAGAAGAGGTGGGCCAGGAGAATCAACAGCTTAAATGAATGGCTGCTTCCACAAATATAAACACACGCTCCAACACACTGATATTTGTAACTATTTTCCAATATTGTACCCATTGCTTTCTATTTAGTTTGACAAGACATTCATTTTCCGTTTGTTGCTAAATCTATCCTCACACATGCCCTTTAATGGAGGTTTAGTGATTCCCTAATCAGATTTAATTGCTGTGGGTTGTTTTCATATGAAATGTTGCTGTGCCTTTGTGTTAAGGACCTCATCTCCTCTATTTGTTGGCCCTATTAGCTGCCAGGCTATTATTTTAAAGTAAACAAAAGAAACTTGTGCTAAAAACAAATGAACCAGACTTTGTGAATATTCTAATTAAAAAATTACACTGTGATACATAATAAAACTGAATAGACTTTCAATAGGCATTTTGTATCATCATTGAAAAGTCTGTTGGTTTATGCAAATGCCTTAGCACTAGCAGCAAATGAATTAATGTGAAAGTTCATGGAAATGTTTATTTTTTCTTTCAGCCCTCTGTATGTATATGTAAACAACTTTCCAAAAGATTCTCTCCTCTTAAATATCCGTTCCCTGTTAACTTTCCACAGGCTGTGGAAGCTGCGTTCAGCAGTGGTGTGGACGCTGTGTGCAAGGCTCACACTTCAAAGGGGCCTGAGGTGGCTCCTGAGATGCAGCTCATCAGGGCCTCTGTGGCCTTTGGGCTATATGTCAAGAAATCATCCCCAGAGCTTAAAAGTAAAGTCCAAACTGCCATGGCTGCTTTCCTCAACAGGCGTGTGGGCTCATGGGTCGAACGGCAGGGTGGATGGGTGAGTAAATGTTGTGGTTTTCCACTTACTGGTGCTTACAGACTTTCAATTTTTACCAACAGATAATAAATGCTTATTTAGTAGAGCAGTGCATTTTGGAGTTGAAAAGTACCAACTTCCCCTTTACACATGAGCAAAAAGTAGCATGTGTAGGCTGAGTTCTAATTCTGAAATTCACCGAATGTTCATACTGTTTCAGATTTTCTAAGAAATCCACAAATCAGTTGTGCAACATGTCACATTTTACATAGATAACCAAGAATAAGAGCCCAGGTTGCTCATTTTGTTGAACTAATGTCCCATCGACAGGGCTGGGAGTCCTTGTTGTAACATGTTGAGATTCACATTCTAACCTTTTGGCCTTTTTTGTTTTTCTTCTAATTTTCAAAACTTTTTCTTTTGTTCTCTTTCTTCAAATGGAAACAAAAGAATAACAATCATGGTGTTAGAAGAAATTCTTACATCTGTGCATGCACACCCTTTAAGTGTATATACGTAAAGTGTTTCATGGTAGTCTATTCTGTCTGTTTTTTAGAGTAAAGTTCCAGATGTTGCAGAATGAGGAAGTTCTGCTTCTTCACACAACAGCGTCTTTAAGAGCCACAAGATCGCACAGAATCTGCCTGTTTTCTGTCGGTTTCAGGTGCTGGTATCACACTAAGCCTCTTCATCAGTCATTCCCTATAAAAGCTCATTTTGTAGCACTTAGATTTAAGTTTTAGGCAGGTTAGCTTTACTTTAAATCATAGTAAATGTGAAGCCAAGTTATTTTAAATGGTAATGTCTATCATCTGAAGAGATTTAATCAAATGATGCCTCTGGATCCTCACTACATCACTGAAGACATTCTTGTTTACGAGTGCATTTGTTTCTTGTGGGTTATTCAATTATGTTCTTCTCAGGTATTTATCATGAATGAATTAGTTCCTATTTTGCCTTTTTTATAATTCAAAGTTCTCAATGTACTGGTTATTATGTGCTATTCTGTAATTTCCTCACTCCTTTAATTTAGATCTAAATGGCATATTTGGTAAAAGATGACTTTTCTAGGGCTTAGATTTATTTTAAGTCTTGCCACTTTTTGTGGCAAAATATGATTAAATATTAGCTCTCCCTCTTTAATGCATAACTCACATGCATTGTTTACAGCCTCTCTTTGTATTGAGCAATCCATCATTGATATAAATCAAAAGCACACATTTCTGATATTGCCATTTTTTATTAAGGGTAACATTTCTCACCTTAAAAACAGGTTAAGGGTTTGAGGATCTGTACTTGCCTTACATGTCAGACATTGAGAAACAAAATGGAATAAATGATCAAGAGTGTTTTATGCTGCATTTTGATCCAAATTGGGACTCTTATCGTGTTCGAATATTTGTAAATCTGTAAAGCTTTTTATTTAAAAAAAGAAAAATGTTGATGCTTTTCAAATTATTGACACAGGGGCTGGAGACGGGGAAAAATGATGCTGCCTTGCAAAATGTGATGGCTTTAAGAAAAATCTGTTCTGACGGAGGGGTGCATCAGTCTCAAGAACACTTGCTACTGGATTCTGAAAGCTAATCCATTTATTTGGTTGCTCTGTGTGACAACTGAACCGTATCATCTTAGATTTTGAAATTGAACAAAAAAAAGTTGTGTAGTGACCGCTTATTATTTATTACCCTGAATGTCTTTGAATAGTACAGTGATTTGAAAAACCTAGACATGAATGATATTCCTGTTCCATCAAACCTCGTTTGGTAAGATTAGACACTTGTTTACACATATCAGAACAGCGCCGTGTGAAGGATTGTAATTGGCGAGCAATATTACTCAGTAAGAATTTAGAAGACTATAATGAAGTTTGCAATGGAACTGATGCATTGATTGTAAGCCTAGACTGTCTTCATAAACATGTTTTATACCACCTTTAAGGTGTTTCTGCATTCTTCAATTTGCTGAGCAGAAAACTTTGTCTCACTAAATCAGAATGCTCATGAATGAAGTTGTGATTTCCTGACAAGCTAATTTAGCTGGGAGTGCATAGTCTGTGTGTGTTTGTTCTGACTGCTGACAGGCAGAGGGCAGCACAAGATGCCAAATTCCAAGTTTGCAGTGTGCGGGTTGTCCATGAGATTGAGTGTGTTTGTGATTTGACATGACAAAAAGAACAAAGCAAACCGAGACGCATGCTGTCTTATTGCTGACCACAGAACCTGCTGTTCTCCGGCTTGTAATTCACAAAGAGATGTTAACATCTGTCTAAATTCTCACCACTATGTGAAAGGTGGGGACTTCAGGAAACACAAATGAGGTTCTTTTAACAATTGTGAGCATTCACACACTGTATAAGCACCATATGTGGTAATTAATCCTTTATATAAATGCATCTGTCATTTATTTGGCTCAAATTCTCTGCCAGCAGAGAGCTTCTTAGGGTGTTGGTGATGTATTGGGAGAGTTTCCACCACATCTTACCTAATTTGTGTTTAACTTCAGATCTGTGTAAATTCATAATACAGTAATAATGCACCCTCAAAGAAATGTGCAAAGAATAACCTGTTCTCTGCATTCATTTTTGCTCCAAATGTTTGTTTTTTCCCAAAAAATGGGCAGTTTGATTTTTGAGATTTGCTGGTTCGATGCCAGGTGACTAATAAAGCAGACGGCTTTCTTGCTTTCCTGTGGAGACATCGGCTGGTGGAGGCTTTGATCCAACTTCATGTGAGCTCTTGATTGTCAGCTGATGCTGCTGTGTGTTCAGGAGCACGAACCAACGTCAAGTGACTCAGTTTGTCTTTTGGATAAGCAAATCAGAAATCTTGTTTGCTCTCCAACGAGTAACTCCGTGATCTACTTAGACTGAGTGAGTGGTGGACTGCCAGTTGTTTCCACTGCCAAGACTAAGATAATCCAAACAGGAACCGAAAGACAAAGTGCTTATGCAAGACAAGTTGGCGTTGGCCCATCCTTTGCTGGGCCTGCACTAGCTGCACTCTACAATTAGCAATGATAGCCTCAAAACATCTATATTCCAAAACCCAAAGCTTATTTTCGTGTGCTAAAGTTACCATATGCTAAACGTTAGATGTGCAACATGTGATGTGCAACATACATTTCTTTTACTGACTCTTAGTATAATTATAATGCTGGTCTGACTGTATTCTTGCGGATTAGTTCCAATAGCTCGGCGCAGTTCTGATCAATCGGTTAACACACTTGTTAAAAAGAACAACCAAAAGGAACAATGCTTTGACACATTTTATTAAATGATGAAAGCTAAGAGGTCTTGTTTCATGACAGTCATAACACTTCTGCTCTTATAGGTTGCTTTAGATTTTTTTATTGTCAAGTGCGTCAGCTGGTTCCTTTTCTTTACACTCTGTGTTAAGATCGCTGCTGGAAAGTGACTAAAATGATTTTTTTTCAATTTGAAGCTTTCTCACCCAAAAAACAAAGAGAAAACTATTTAATGGAAACATTACCTTGCTAGTAAATGGTAGGACTCGGAACATAGAGTATGAGGGTGATGTCCTCAGAAATGTAAACTCTTAGTAAGACCTTCTTATTCATTCTGCACTTATTTATACATGTGCCCACTCCTTGCTAAATCGATTAACTATACATACAGAAAATTGTCCATACACTGCTGTCAAAAGAACAAATAGTTCAACAAAGGCAGCTACTTTTATGCTCAGGTTCCAGATATGCAGCTGCTCTCATTGAGATGAATATTCAACAGTTATCTTGCACTTTTGCACATTTATATGTGTAGTAGTTACATACTGTTCTGTACAGGCTATTGGTGTTAGCTCTCCTGTTTTAGCATAAACACACGTCAAAATCTGACTTGCTTTAATAGGGTAATATTAATCAGTGACAGTCTGCATTGATAAGACAGCAGCTGATGAGATGGGATGACATTTCACTGTAACATATTTTCACCACTCCAGTGTAAACTTTATCGGGTACATGGACAAAAATATGTACATCAGTGGAGCATTACAGGAAATAATACAATCACATTAGCAGGTGGAGAAGCTACAACATTCTTCAGGAATACTGTTCCTTTAATAAAAAACATTGGTTTGGCTGGATCAGTGTTTATTTCTCCACTGCCTATGGTCACAGGCATCCAGGCAAGGCAAATTAAGTAGTCTCTGTACTGTTTCCTCTAAAGCTAATTGATAGCACAAGTAGGTTTTCACTCAAACAGTGTCTGATATGTATAAAAGTATCATCTTTAATGCACGGTAACGCACCAAACATTTAGTAAAAGGAATGAGTGTGTCGAGTTGCAAAGAAACTTTAAAACTCATAGCTCAGAGGTTCACAGAAGTCTCTTTCAAAGCACCATATGGTTGCACAAACTGCTTGTTTGCTCATTTTTCTTCTATTCATAGAATGCTACATTTAACCTCAGTTCCAGTTTACTACATTATCCGTCTTTAAGGCCGCAGAATGAAGCATCGTGATGTAGCACAGACTGTAGAAGGACAAATATTTGAGCTCATTCACGTGAAAAAGGCCAATAATTTTAATATAGGTCAATGAGGACAGCAAATACTAATTTATCACATGTGCTATGAACACACAGTCACTGTTTCAAGTCCAACAGGGTGGTCTTGCAACTTATTAAAAGCCCCTTTTCCCATTTGACACAATTTTCTCAGCCGGAGAGAAGTCATTGTCTTCTAAATTGAAGTGTGACTGGAGATATCCAGGTTGATTTGTAGTCCTGGCCCCTTGGCAAGCAGTGGATGGCGAAAACAATTTAGCCCTTGTTTTCTGTCACTGTGCTATTAACGTTACCGGCAATCCCTGGAGCATAAAAACTGCCTCCTGTCTGCGAGCAACTGCATTGGGGTTTCGCCAGTGGCACGGCAATCAAATTAGTTACCAGCGGTCACACGTCATCGTCGTCCCCGTCGTTCTGCCTCAGCCTCCTCTCGTGGCTCTGTCCTCTCTGGCTCCCTCTCTGAGGAAGACGACCCACCGGGTCCTGACAGAGCACGTACTGTTTCCAGATCTTTTGGAAGGCCGTGCGAAACTTCTTGATACGGAAGGCGTAAACAATCGGGTTGACGGCCGAGTTGCCGTGTGTGAGAATGATGGCGATGTAAACGAGGAACTCGGGCTTTTTGCAGTCGGGGCAGATGAGCGTGATGCAGTTGAGGATGTGAAGCGGGAGCCAGCTGACGGCGAAGAGGAACAGAACCAGGGCTAGAGACTTGGCCAGTTTGAGCTCTTTCCCGTAGTAGCGTCGGGGATCCGTGTGGCTCGCTGTCACCTGCAAAGAGATCAAACCCTTAACACAAACGTTTTGTGGCTCCGGCCCTCTGGACGATCGGCATCTGTTGCCCCTTTCTCAGCACGCCTTACCTTTTTGTTGAGCTGCTTGTGAATCATGTAAAAAATCTCCACGTAGATGGCCAGCATGAGTAGCAGTGGAGGGAGCACCCATCCGAAGAAGTTGAAGTAAACCATGTAGTCCATGCTGATGACCGTCTCGAACTCACAGGTCACCAGCAGGTCGTCGGTGAGCAGGGAGCCGTTGTCCCGCAGACGCTGCAGGTTATTCCAGCCCAACATGGGTGTGAGGCCCACAATGATGGACACCAGCCAGCACAGTAGCACGGCTGTACCAGCTCGCCGAGGGGTCACCACTCGTTTGTAGCTATGGCAACAAGGGAGAAGGTGAAGCATTAAGTTACTCTTTGGACAGACATTGTGACTGACAGGAAGGAACTAAAATCTGACTTTTCTGGGGCTATGTTGTGAGTCATTTGACACTGCTTAGAAAAATTATTAAATTTCTTCATATGCCTTATTATCTTATTAATATACAACCTGCAATCAAAAAAAGAGGAGGAAGGGTAAGGAGTAATACAATTTTAATCTGCTTCTTTGCGAAAAAATATATTCTATTCTATTGTTTGTAGAATCTTATCCTCTCTTTTGTTACATAAGTCCATCATGCTGTTTACCAGTTCAGATTTATCACAAACAAGTGGGATACATCATCTGATAGTATTTCTGAATGAGCATATTTGATTGTTTGTTTTTTCATATGTTTTCAGCACTATCTTTAAAACAAATATGAGCATTAAGTGGAAAAAAAAATGTAAGAATGCATTTTTTTTAGTTTTCCAAAATGCATATGGAAACGTTTCCATTGCTATGTGTGATGCTACTTAACTTCTTTCATTACTTTAAGATAATCCCAACAGTGAAGCATGGAGGATGCAGCATAATGTTGACTTTTTCAACCAGGGGTATACCTTAACATACACACACACACACACACACACATATATATATATATGATTGCACTAACTTAACTGTCTCTAAAACGGTTCTGTGGTTTAGTCATTGGCAATGTGAGAGATAAGATTATTTTGCCAAGTATTTTGTATAAAAAGTTATTATTTTTATACATCAGGAGCTAACTTAATCAAACAAAACAAACTGTCAATCAAAAGTAAGGTGAGGGTTTCTTTTCATGGCTATGTACTGACTGGCTAATCTCGCAGGACAAGAAAAAGACATAGGGAAGTTCCATTTTGGGTTTTGACTTTGCTTTCGGTTTTCTTTCCTGTTGTCCTTGGCCTCCACTTCCTGATTTATTAAGTGTCAACGCTAAGAGTTCCATCTTAGTGTGGAACTCAGGGTAAGGCAAACAGACAACACATGACCATTGAATGTAAAGATTTGTTTAGCTCTTCTCATATGTGACATCGGTGTTATTTCAATCTCCATTCGCAGGCTGTAACTCTTTGTGCAGCTGCTCTTAATGCATTTGGCTCTCTGTCTGCATGCAAATTAGCTTCCCATCTGCCAAAATGTGCTATCTGGGTTTGACTGCGTTCTGCCTCCCTGCTTTCCCTTGCGCTTTCAGTCCTTGTCTCCCACAGGTTCTACCTGTGCATCATATCCAACGGCCAAGCCCACCAGAAAGGCACGAGACATTTTTAAATCTTGTAGCGTTCTTATCACTGCAGCCTGTCCCCTAACACTTCAGCTATAAAAAGCAGCCAGGGCTCAAACACGTCCCTAGGGAGGTTAAGAGGGGGAGTCAATTCCCGGCCCACGTTGAGAGTAAAATATAATGAACTACTGTCTAAATAAATTTGTGCAGATAGAAGTTTGTTGGACAATTGATCCGTTTGAGGATAAAGATTGCATTTCTAATTTATATCTAATATAAAATTTATATCCAATGGCAAAAGTAAACACTGTATGCAAATAGGCTTTAAAGATATTACTGCAATAATTCTATCATAAATGTAATAAACATCACCAAAGTGTTCATGTAATGGATGACAGTAAATGTTTCCTGAGAAAAGTCGTAGCCATCAGTGTCACAGACTGTCACATGTGCTTCCTTTGTATAGGTAAACAGCTAGAGATATTATGCAATCCATAAAGTGCCCACAATGAGACTATTCAGGCGCACATTTTGTGACACACACTTTGAAGCTAATTGCTAAAGGAGTCAATTCAAAGTAAAAATGAGAGTTTTTAGGTTAAAAAAATTATAACATCAGACATCAGAACATCAGACTTCCAAGTTTTGTCTCACAGACAATTATGCAGCCAAACCCCTGATCTTGACAATCATAAAAAGCTTTCAAACACACACAACCACAATAATTTTGCAGCATCACGAATAAGTCAAACATTAAAACTTCCCTCCTTTTTAAAAACAATATTTACATTATTTTTATTCCATTTGCAGCTTACAGACTGGGTGAAATGTTAAGTTATAAGGCGTCAGATGTTCCCCCAAACGTTAAAATGAGTTAACCGACTACCTCACAATAACTGATAAAGTACTCACCCTATTTTACCAGGTATTATAGATGTAAAAAAAAAATTAACACTAAATGTGTTATTTACAATCACAGTAAGTAGAGGATAACATAAAATCCACTGGAGCCAGTGGAGGGAATGTTCTGGTGAGTGCCCTCAGACCGAGCAGCGGTGCAGACACAACAGACCCCCAAAGATGAGGCAAGAGATTGAAAACTATAGTGAAATTCACCTTTGGGCCTACCTCATGGGTATTTTCACTCTCAGATAGCGGTCGATGGCGATGGCCAGCAGCGCCAGGATGGAACTTTGCGTGAGCACCAGCACGGTGCAGGCCACCAGCAGGCAGCTGTAGAAGTGCGTCTGCAGCCCGATGCTGATGGTGATGGCGAGGGGGATGACCAGAGCCCCCACCGCAATGTCAGCCAAGGCCAGGGACACGATGAAGCAGAAGGTGGTGTCTCTCAGAGACCGGTTGATACGCACGGCCCAGACCACCATCACGTTCCCGACGACCGAGGACAGAGCGATCACCACCTCCATCCCGATGTAGAGAGCCTTAGACGCGGGCAGAGCCGGAGCCATGGTCCCGGACGCTGGATGAGTGCGCGCTCAGCCTGAACACGTCCAGGGGGTTCCCTGTCTGAGTTTTGGGTTATCGGCTAAGATACCCTTACTTAAGTTTGGCATTTTTTTAAAAGTGTTCCTCAGAAGCAGAGGTAGGGCGAGTTGCTTTGACCTGTTTTTTTTTTTTTTGGGGGGGGGGGTTCTTGTCCACACACGCAACCCAGATGCGCCCCAGACGCGTTAAGTTCTCCGGATTCCGAGAATGGATTGTTTCCCTGCAGTCCCACTGGCGGACAGACGGGATGGACCCGCACACAGAGTGACTCACGAGCTGTTTCCCAAAGAGGCTGTTAACATAGCTGATCTCCTCACCGTCAGGCATGTGTCAAACGTAGAAATAAAAACATAATTTAATCCCAACGGTATCCGCTCAGGCAAAAAACAAAAAAAGTCTGAGTCATTTCGATAGTTGCGCCATCGACTGTTCCATCAGTGTGGACCGCTCTCTTAGGCAGAGTTGGTTCTTAAATGGGAAATATTTCCTATTGGGAATTGCTATGCGATGACGGTCGTGTGACGCTCAGTTTATTGTTGCTGCTTCTTTCTGTGAGGACCCACGTGTGGCTGAGAGCTCGCTCTGCCTGGGAGTGGACACCCGTGGGTCCTGGGGAGGAGACTATCAGAGAATGATTCCAATCTCAGGTGAAATTCCCACGAAAATGTTCACATGTTACTTATTGCGCCCCGGTGCATTTGGACCAACGGTTTCAAAAAGTAACAACTGTCGGAGAACTTGATGCCTGATATATAACACATCACATTCTAGAAATGCAGTGTTTGAAAAGGCAAAACCACGTGAGAGTCTATGAGGCTTTGGCACAGGAGGAGAAGCACTGAATGAAAAGGAGAAGCAGTGGAATGAGTGCATGCTTTGTGCCAAAAACGGACAATGACATAATACAGGACAGTGTCGGCCTGGTATCTGGGAAAACAGCTGTAGCCTGATGAACAACAGATACAAATGGAAATGCAAATGAGAGGTATATATAGGCTGGTCACAGCCAAGCAGTTACAAACAGTAAATACTTTTCTTTCTATGAATTATCTGTGTGCTGGGCAGGTAAAGGGTCACCCTTCTGTCAACGGTTAGAGGATAATCAGAACCAGACCTGCTTGTGTCACCCTGAATCCATTGATTTTACAATGACATATGTCTCCACCCTCAATCATTCATGGGTCTGGAGCTCCGAACAATAAATACAAGGCCAATCTGTGTTGCTTTTTTTCCCATTCTTTAGACACAATTTGTTATGAGTATCAATTTCTGAACTTTGATGAATTAATTCAATAGGAGCAATTACATATTGTCCCATGTTCACTTTAGGCACATCACTCACTATTTTAGCAGTCAAAACAGGGAAGATTTGCCCGGTTGAAAGTTTGGGTAACTTCAGAAGCTAATAGCTAATATTCTCCAAAACCTGACAGATTTCATCCTTGCAGGAGCAAGTTGATGCTGGTGATAAATTCCCATAATCTCTTTGTGTGACTGATGGAGAGCTGACCTTCTTAAGAAAATGTAACGAATGCTTTTGTAGAGCTGGGCGCTCTCAGAAGCAATTCTTCATGTAATGACGCACAAGCTTATTTCTTAAGAAAAGTTTTTACAAATCATCGGTTAACACACAAGTCATACCTTTGGTTGATTGTTATCTTTTTCTGAGGTAAAGCTAAGCATGTCGCAATGTGGCCCGAGGCACAAACCGACATGCAAAACTAATCATTAGAAGCAATATTTGAGTCTTTGCTTTCTGTCTCAAACTTCTGGAAGTGAAGGACTGAAAAAGGTATGGCATTATTTATTTGATTTAAGCTGGTTTGTGTCATCCAGCTGGTTACTGGAATTCTAGAATTAGCCTTGATTACAATTGAACAAAATAACTTACATTATTTGGACTAGTCCGAGGGAAGATGGTTCTCAGAAACCCACTTTAGTCTGGATCTTATTTGCCAAGCTCTTTTATAGATTACATCTTTATGTTAATGTTAATCTATGATAATGATCAGTCTGCTAACTATTTATGCCTCATTCCTATTTCACAAGTAACAATCACATTGCACTTTTCTTCGCTGTTGAAAGCAGGGCCACTTCAACAGCCAACATGAAAACAGATTCTTGATTCAAATGTGCTGGAATCGAATAAAACATTTTAATAAAATGAGAATTGACACACAAAGAATATTTTTTCTTGAAAATCTATAAGTTATTTTCATATCTGATGTAAGAAAAATAAGTGCGTGGTTCTCATTAAAAGAGCTTAATGTTTATCTTTATGTTAATCTTTTTAAATTCTTATCTGTTTTCATTACATTCATGTGTCTGCTCATGATTTTACTGAGGAACTAAACTAGAATCGTAACAGAACGGCATTACTGAGGTATACTGTACAAGTTAGAGCATGTGGAATCAAGACAGGAGTAGATTTCTGAGAATCAACTTGTCATTCCATTTCAAGAAACGGGCCTACTGAATGCATACCAGCTCGCAGTGAACTCTTTTGTGTTGAATTCATGTGGAGACCTTTGAGGCATGATAATTTAAGGAGAGAACGTGCAGCTCCTCATCAACTCTCTCCGGCTCTAAATGGAGGGAATTGTTCACTTTGCGGCTGGGATGAGCCTTTTATTACCAGCACTTCACTGGCTGACCTCTGAGATGAAAAACAGTATCAACTGAGGCCGTGAATTCAGCTAAATGAGAAAAAGCTAACAGGAGTACATTTAGTTTGATTTTTGACCAAAGTTGGCTCTGATTGAATGGCTTATTCCCTCTGTGCGCAACGAATAGAGGAATTAGATGGCAGAAATAGGGGGATTGAGGAATCGTTCAGAGGGTACAGTTTTCCAGGATGGCCCTCCTGTTCCAAAAGGAAAATTCAAGACATTAGAATATTATATTAGATAGAAAGAAAACATGCGTTGCTGATAATGAAACAATTACAAAGTATTTGTCCAACACATGAGTACAGCCAACAGATTTGTGTGTGTTATGAAACTGCTGTTTTGTGTGGTATTTGCATAGCACGCTGCAGAAACGGGGGAAACATGAAAAATATGCAGTAATGAGCAGGAAACGAGCACTCGGCTGAAACCCATGAGCAGTTCTAGATCTTTGGTAGTCCTGTGAGAAACCAGTTAAAAGCTGGATAGACTGCTCTCAGCAGGGCAACTATTTTTACTTTCTCACTTGGTTCATCTGCCAACGCAGCAGGCTAGACAGAAGTATGTTATCTTTGCAGTTTGCCTGTTTTTCAGGGGTATTAAGCAAAACATGCAAAACCTTGTTCCATAAATCACTAAAGTACATATTTTTTCAATCTGTTAAGTGCAATAGGACCATTACCTTGGTGGATGATTAACTGAACATTGTTAGTCATGTAGTGACTGGCAAAAAAAAATTCTGTATAACACACAATATATATATATACAATATATCGTATTATGCTGTGATGGGTATTGATTACTCTCTATATATATTCGTAACAATTTGGGTTCCATCCTAAAAAGGGAGGTGATTGTTACTCAGTTTGATGCCACTTTGGTGTCTTAGACTATTGATTATAGCAGTTGTCATTATTTTTATGGTAGGCAATACTGGATCATGATGGGGAAAAGTCAATTTGGCCTTTATGTGAAAGTGTTGAGACTTCAGATAAGCCCTGCTGGCAGCTGAGGCTCAGAAATCACTCAATAGCTAATAGACCATCTCGGTCAACAAAGAAAAAAGATTAAAGCAGGTGCTGGGTTTCAGAGGACTGTTCAGCTTTACAGAAGAAATAGCTCAACAAATATTGTGGAGTAGTCAAGAAACAACAGTTGTTTTTTCAGTTATTGGTGCTATATTACAGTAAAGTAAAATTCAATTATAGTGTGTTGTCGCAAGATAAGGGTTACTACAGTTTGTTTTGAGTTCCATATTCTGTTGTTGGTGAAATAAGTTATGATTTTTAGTGTTTTGTGTTGTTTTATTATTTTGGTACCAATTCGGCCACAGTTTAAATACCAAACAGAGATGAGGGGACAATCAGATGTTGGTACAGTTATATATCTAAGGTACTGGACACAGAGCGATGTATGTTCTTCTTTAAAGTTACATTTATGTCCAACTTGACGAGTCGTGGATATCTGATTTGTGTGCAAGGATCACATGCGTGTTTATCAATCCTAAATATGGTTTGCTGAAGGGATTTTTGCAACTCTGACTCTGTTGACTTCAGAAAGGCACCATACCTCCCTCAAAAGACATTTAAACATCTTTGAAAGAACCGCCTTTCACATACTCATTCAGTGCAACAAGCACTTTATACTCTTTTATATGCTTTAATTTAAATAATTGCTTCTATGTTGTTAGTCTGACGTAAAAAAGAGAGTTACTCCTTCACAGAAGTTGCATTGCAAAATATCTTATCCTACCCTCACTGTGGAGACAGTCTGCAATGGACCTGAACCATACTGTACTGTACCGTACCATAGCATGAAATGAGAAAACACATAGGCCTGTGGGTGGTAATCAGCAAGAAGCTTAAAAATGTATTCAGAGGGCTGGCACAGTCCTGGAGGTGAAGCTGGATAATTGTCGACAGTAAGTGCTCTTCAGGAGCTGGGACTTCTGTAATTTGTCAGCAAAGGCGACCCATTCAGTTATCCATGTTAGTAGTATTTTGAGAAATGATGTACAGATTTAAACTGAACAAAACCACGACATACTCAAATAGACTTGGTAATGATATGAATGTTTTTGCAGCCCTTTCATTTGCTGGTGAAATCTTCCACGATCTTGATATAAGTGCATTATTTCATTTGTTTTGTTACTGTTGTTTTTTACTGTGACGAAAGGAGAAGAATACAAAGTAATCCTGAGTGATTGACAGCTCCAGGATGTATGGGCGAGGTGCTTTGGACGGATGCATCTGTATGCGTCCACAATAGCATCGAGCAAGCTGAGAGCAGCATACCGGTCAACAGAAGGAGTAAACTCAGGGGTCAGGATGGAAACTCCCTGCAATGCAGCTCTGGAATATTTGTTGACAGGTCGGCTTTGGAGAGAATATCTCAGAAGAGTCTGATTCTGTTTTGCTAGATGTACCATAGATGGATTAGTGAGTGTTGACACAGAAATCCTTTTGTCAGGATTTTTTGAAAATATCAATACATTGCTTTCCCGCCACCAGAAACAATGGTCAGACAATGTATCATAGACACATTTTCAACAAAAGCTCCTTGAAATCTCTGCTTAACTGCCCGTTGTCCCCACATGGCTGACCGTTTGGACTTTGGCCCTCTTCAGTGCTGCCAATTTCCCAGAGAGGCACACATCTTATGTTTTGAGTCCATTAAAAAACTGTACCTAGATTTATTTCTCTCTACTGTCTGGAATTCTACTGCACATATTAATGACTTTTGTTTTGGCCAACTGCAGTGAGAAAACATCAAGTGTGACAAAGAATAATATGTTCCGTTTTCATTGTTCCTGTCCATTGCACTCTATCCATTACCGATAAAAGAATCCCTCAGTAGCTGACGTCATAAAGATTTAGTTCTGTGATTCAGTCACTCCATTAGGGACCAACTGAGCCACGCTAACCAAATATCAAAAGAATCGGTCTACATTTCACAACAGAC